GCCAAAATAAGATTCTAGGTGTTTGAAAACTGCTCAAAACAATGTGCTGCTTCTGTAGATCACATTGTTTAATTTTGCTGATCATCAATATTAACTTTAAATTTAGCCAATCTGATTTTTATACATAACCCTTTTTTTAATGTCACAGATTTATCTGAAGACTTTATAGAAGTTTGAATGAATATACACATTGTTCCACTGGAATATATACTGAAGGGTAATAATCAATAAATATTTCAGTGGAAATCAACAATAATCCATGGAGAAACTCACACTGTCCCCTAAAAGAAAGATAATCACAAAAGTTGTAAGGCCAAAAGAAAAACCACAGCAACAATGATAGATTTGATGGTAGTCTATATTTTCTGTTAGACAAGCTGATGCCCTTCTCATCTCATATATATTTTTGTTCTAATATGATAGTCCTTTTAACCTAAAACACTTGTCTTATATTCATTCAGAAGGCTCTGAACGGGATTAAAAGAGCAAGAACAACGTGTTGTGTAGCAGTCTCCTGATAAAAGAATGCCCTTACTCTCCCCCTAGGAAAATAAATAAAACCACGAAAAATGCAAGATCAGTGAGAGACCTTGAAGCCCATTTACATTGTTATACTTAAGTAGAGCCTCAAATTGAGGTTGACTGAGGCTGAGGTGACTCAGTTTCAGGTCTTTTTTTTTTCTCCTCCCACCAATTTCTCCACAGCTCAGTTACCCCAGCACAGTGGATGTAACCACCCTCCATCTCATGAGTATGGCCAGCACACAAATGCTGAGCTCAGCCCTCTGATGCTGGCTGGTCAATGGGGCAGCATGGAGTGTCATGGACCCTCTCCACTGCCTGTGTGACCTCACTCCTCCTCCTCCTCTTACAGTCCCACAGCACCAAAAAACACAGGGCTGGAAAGAGGGGCACCCTTTGTATGAACTGAAAACCACCAGTGGCATAAATATTGACAAGGAGTGAATAAAGCAGGTTCACTGCCCTCAAAGCTGAGGAGGAACAAGGTGTGCTCTCAAGAGAAACATCTGCACCCACTGACCCTGAGCCACGCAGAGGCACCAGGAGAAAGCCGCGAGCAGGGTGACTCTCTGCTTCCAGGAACAAATAGACCCAGCTGCCAGTCTGACCTGCTCTGTAGACAAGTTTGCTCCTTGCTCACTGAGAACTTATGAGAGAGGATTAAGGAGTAGACAAGGTGGGTGACAAGGTAGTGAGCGTCTGCTATGCATCCCCTGACCAGGAAGAACAAGCACATGAGGCTTTCCATGGGCAGCCAGAAGCAGCCTCCCCCATCTGCAAACTCTGGGCCTCGTGGGGTATTTTTACTACCCTGATACCTGCTGGAATGGCATAAGCAGCAGCTTGGCTGCTTAAAAAGCACAGTTTGGCAGCATAGGACCTGGGGGTCCTGGTGGATACCATGAGTCAATGTGCTTTCCCCACAAAGGAGGCCAATGACATTTTGGGCTGCATGTGGAGTTTTGCCACCCAATCAAAGGACGTGATCCTTCTCTTCTAATCAGCACTGGTGAGGCCACACCTGGACTGCTGTGTCTAGCTCTGGGCTCCTCAGTACAAGAAAGACATGGACGTACTGGAAACAGTCCAAAGAATGCACAAAAAATGATGAAGGGACTGGAGCCTCTCTCTGATGAGAAAAGGCTGAGGAATGTGAACTGTTCAGCCTGGAGAAGGTTCAGGGGTGATTTTATTAATTTATACCTGTACCTGAAGTGAAGGTGCATAGGTGGCAGAGCCAGGCTCTTTTCAGTGGTGCCCAGAAAACAGGCAGCACCATCTGAAGACCAGGAAGAATGTTTTTACTTTGAAGGTGACTGAGCACTGGAATGGGTTTCCCAGAGAGGCTGTAGTCTCCATCCTTGGAGATACTCAAAATCCACGTGCTCCTGAACAACCAGCTGGTAAATGACCATGCTTGAGAAAAGACGTTGGACCAGAGGACCTCCAGAGGTTCCTTCCAATCTCAGCCATTCTGTGAATTTCCCTTTTCTTGAAGCTGTATAACCAAACTTACATCCCACTTGTCACCTGATCATAACCCCCACTATACTGATATTCTGCAGCTTTACATGCCAAACGTATTAAAATTTGGGTTATCTGCTGCTACTGGTTTTCCAATAGTTTTTATGAGGTTTGCAAAGTAGGCTCTGTGTATTTTTTACAAATTATTGAGCAAATGATTGAGCAATGCTTTGTACTCTTGATATCCTGAATTTGCCAAGTATAAACTCCAGCTAGACCCTGCCTCGGCTCATGCTGCAAGGACAACTACTACTTGCATTACAGCACAATAGTGGCACAAAAGCACTGCATCAAAATTTAAAAATTCAATCCCCCTCAGAAATAGGCATACTTATCTTCAAAAACTGGTTCATGCACAAGAAATGAAATGTTTTTATAGAACATCCTTTTATTTTGCAAAAAATTTATTACTCACCGTTGTACAAAATATACCTAAAAATATGATGTTAAGATAATTTTGACACAGCTAGGTAGATTGCAGATTACCTAGTTGCAGGGAAGAAATCTTCACAATTTTTAAGGCAATTCAAGACAGTAACAACAAGTGAATTATACATTTTGAAATATTCCCTTTATAAGATTTACACAAATGTTACCTCAAATGTTACCTGGTATCTGTAAACTTTACTGCTTTATACAAAGTTTCCATTCACATATTTAGAAGATATAATGAAAATGATATTTTGCAGTTCTTTTTTTAAAGCATCTCACTTCTAGTCTTGGTTTTACAGAAATAGCTAGTTCAACTCAGAATTTTAGTTTTTAAAAGAGATGAAGGAATAGATGTGATTCCAGATTTCTAGTTTGTTTAAAAATGGGGGAAAAAATCTGTTTTCTGAAATGTAAAAAAAAAACCCAAACAAAAAAAACCCAAACAAAACAAAACCAAATAAAACATTTTTAAGGTAAATTAGACTAGAAAAGTATTGTTTTGATTTAATGTATTATTTTAACTCTAGGATGGTAGTTGACAACCATCTGCTTAAAGCAGCCAACACTGATTCAATTTAAGCTCATTAAGACAAATTTGGTCTATTCTTTCAGAAAAGTACTACTACTGTATCTCATGAGGAAAGAAGCCATACTCACAGGGGTTCTCTACACCACCCTCCAAGTAATTTTCAAAAGAGTGCAGTCATTATTTATCCTAGGTCCTTCTGAACCACAGGATTTTTTATATAATTTAAAATACAAACAAACAGAAACACCACCAAACATTAAGAGAGGGAGATATTACTATTACCTTAAAAAGTGTATAGCTAATAACTAACATAAAATGCAAGACAAAACAGCAAGAAAATCACTACGGAACAGATCTTCACCTGACATAAAGTCAGTATAGCTCCACTGGCATCAGCAGAGAAATTCTGACTTGTACCAGTCAGAGATCTGACTGTCCATGTACACAAAATTTTATGTTAATAATAAAGATAGACAGTGTTCAGAAGAGAAGTGTTAGCACACATTTTTTAAAAGAAGAAAGTTTGTAACACCTTGCTTCTCATCTAGTATTTTGCTGCTGATGACTGTCATTCATTACCACTTTCAAATGATACAGTAAAATATATTTAACATTGGTCTATAAAGTTCTTAAACACACCTAGTTCTTACTAGAAATATTCTGAAGCCCATTTACAGTCTAAAACATAAAGTTTTAAAAGTATTATTTTATAATGTTACTAAGTTTCTATACTGTTATGGGTTTTCACTGACCTTAATTTTTATGGAATTAACTGCCATCACTGGAAGTCAGCAGTAACTGAAATTTAGAGCAGCATTTCTCTTGGTTGTTAGCAGTTATTCCTATTACAGATCATTAGCTACAGTAAATTTTTTTAAATATCTCTAAGGTGTATGTTTACAGAGGAAATCCTAAAAGCAGACTTATAGCTACAGAAATAAGTAATTGCACAAGTTTCTCATAGGCACCAAGATGTTCTTTTAAGGCACAAGAGAATTCCCAGAGTGTAGAAGAAAGATTACTTAACCAGGAGTGCAAATATTAAAAAAGCATTTAAAACCTGGGAAGCAGAGGTGGAATACCACCTGCTGCTTATGGCAGCATTCAAGTTCCACTACTGTCATCTGCCAAAGGTATTTCAGACTTTTGTGTGCTTGTGTATATATATATATAAAGTGTATATGTATGCTTAATCTAGTACAGTAACAAATGGGATTCAGATGGTTTCTGCCAGAGATGTGTGTAAACGCTGACCTTTACAACTACCCCAAATTACACTCAAAACAGATGGTTTCTCCCACTGTAATTCTGCATCTCAATAAAAATGTATCTCAAAAACACATTATTAACACTGTTCTCAATCCATTTGAGCCTATTTTCTCTCAAGCTCTACTTCCAAAAAGAAACAGTTAATGAAGTCCATAGCAGGGCAAATAGAAAAGGCAGTGGTAGCTACACTGGACAAAACTCTTGGCAACGGTCATCATTTCTGCAATGATACTATGTCAAAACTCACAAGAAACTGAGGTACAAACTTGTGTGAAGTAAACATGAGATTTGTATTGCATTCATTTGAATTATGATAGTTTCCTCTATTGTATGATTTTTTTTTGATCTCTTATTTCCTTAAAAGAAAAATACATCCTCGCATACAATGCTGATACCCTATGTGGTGATGCCATAAATCCCTTAGGATAGCAAGTTTGATGGGTGGTAACCCATTAGGAGAAAAATATATTTTTGAATATTATTTTACATATATACAATATATATATATATATTTAACTTTCAATCAAAATGTAAAGTTTTCTAATATATTCATGAGTATTTTTATGTCCACAATGAAAAAATATTTTGTATCTCAGCTCATATAAGTTAACAAGGTATTTGATATCCACCAACAATATGCTTCATTTCTACAAAAATTAAAAGAAAACAAAGAAACAGTGAGTTATAAAGCTTTCCTTCTCCAAAGCCAAATACAATACAATTTTGAAGCTGGATAATTAATTAAAAGAACACCAAGTTTTGCATTGTGAGCAATCAAAAAGAATGCAAAACGTAATCTAAGTAGAAACTAGAATTACTATATTAACCTAAAGAAAAAATACTTTGAATCCCTTTGTTCTGATAGAATGTGTCCAGTGTAAGAAAATGTAAATTTAAAGCAAGAGTTATTTACACTCTTACCAGTCTATCTTAATTTCGACAAACCTCCACCCCTCTCAATTCCAAAGTACCTAGTATCACAAAAGTCTGACAGCCACTTATTTACAGGTTTTTTTTCAGCACCCTGAAAGGCACATTTATCTTTTGATGCATGTTTCTGCTAATGTCCTAAACTTGGGTTCCAACTGATCTAAGAAGTCAAGTGCCTCTTCTTCATGCTGGTCACTGCAGCAGCCTACAGAGCCAGCCAAGGATCCTTTTCCTTCATAGTTATATGAAAGGAGATAATCTTCAGAATGCTTCTGTTCTTCATCCTGTCTGCAAAGGTGCACCTTCTGCATAGGAAAAGAACAGATCTTATCATTTTCTTAAATTGTTATCCTAAACATATTGCAAAAAAAAAAATTTCTTTTTGATTTACCTTTCATTCAATTATTTTTAATCACAGTGTGTCCTCTAATGGATTCCTACATACAAAAAATGCACATGATTGGTCTATATCATTACGACTACAAAATATAAGTATTTAATAAATAAATAATTTCTACTAATTACATATGTAACTATAAAAGAGGAAGAACCTGTTTAAATAACCTGTCAAGCAACTAAAATTCACTGAAAATTAAAAGACTGATTTATACATAACTAGTTAGACAAGTAGTGAGAGTTTTTTGATCTCCAAGAAGTGGACTACATTTTTAATGCTGTACATTCATTCCTGCTCCTTTGCTAAGTTAAGTATGAGGTTTAAATTAGCATGAAGTAAGAAGTTAGACTAAAAGCAAACAGACATCCCCAGAAAAACTTACAAAAGCCTCAGTAATTATTCAAAATGAAAAACAGCACACTGCCTATAGCTTAAGCCAAGAGAAGAAAGTAATTTACACTTATGCCTGAAATATGTCAAGGATTACTCCTTGAAAGTGCAATATTCCAAAGGGGATGCAGAGGAGCAATTTGGAGGGAAAATGAAATGAAACCAAAACCAGAAAGCCACCTTTCTAGCCCATTTACATGTCTTCCTTGAAAAGCCTGTATATATTTGACCATAACCTACACTTCAAAGAAAAGCAGTTTCAGAATACTTACTTCGCCTAAACGAGGATGTGTGAAATTATGCCACTCTGAGTAGGAGTATCTACAAGTATCCATCATAGTCTGTCCTCCTCCTTCTTTAACTGATCCCAGAGTCTGATGTCCACCTCCCTTGACTGATTCCAAGGTATGCCCTCTTCCTTTCACCATTTCAAATGTTTGCTGCTCTCCTGTTTTTACTCCATACCCTCCTTGATCACAAGTATTTTGTAGAGGAATTATATTGTGATCCTAAACAAACAAAACAAAACAAAAAAGCAGTAGTGAGGACATCTTTTTTCCTCCTCATTTCTTTTGCCTTTTTAATTCAAACAGAAGAAACAGCAATCAGACACTGTCACAACTGAAATTTGAGAAGTCTCTTTTTTGGTACTGTGATATTTTGAACAAAAGGCTATCCTTAATGTCTAAAGATCCATAAATAATCTTGAGAAAGGATATTATGACAAGAGAGAAGAGAGAATATCTATGATATGATATGATATATGATATGATATGATATGATATGATATGATATGATATGATATGATGGAAGTTTTATCCCAGTGAAATATGTACAATCCATATTCAAGTTTATAATGCCATTACATTATTCTTCATAGGCAACAAGAAATTTGACTCATACCACCATAATGATTTGTTGGTTTTCAACATGAAATATTATTTTTAAACTCATCTCTTCTTCTTGGGGAAGACAATGTCAGGGGGTGGAGGATGACAGAAAAGAGGTAGTGTAAAGAGCTAAGTTATTCTGCATGAATGTAGTCCCGGACTAAACTATGTTCATGGTAGACTGAAAGAAGCTTAGATGCAAAAAGAATTTCATGAACATGGGCCTGTTCATGAATCAACTGCATTTGAGGTCATTTTTCAGGGGAAGGGCAGAAATTGCACCTGCAATTTACTCAGCTATCTGCTAAATATAAAAATCCTTCTCCAAGGAAAAAGAATGTTTTGCCATAAACACATTTTCAACATAGGCAAAATAATTAATTTCAATGTAATGTCAAAGTTAAAAATTACTGCAATGTTATTAAAATGTTCACCTGAAGTTGCCAACCAAATTCTTAAAATCTGGAAGAATTACAAGTAGCCAGCCTAACAACTACAAGGTATGTTTAAATGTATATAGAACTACCACCTCTGAGTAAAGTAAGAATTTTCAAATTCTTATTAAATAGCAGAGTACATCTAATGATCCCTTCATTGTTAGCCTATATCCTTTATCAAATCACTTACTTGCAGGTGGTCCTGTTCTCAAACTGCAATGCTATGGACATCCCAATTGCAAGTTTCTATGTTGAAACAAACAAACAACTTACCATCACTTCTTCTCCTGGAGCTTCTGTGTTTGAAATTATTAAATTGTGATTGGCACAATCATCAGTCACCTGCCTGTGCATTACCCCAGCACCACAGCAGCCACAAATTGTGATCAGGATTACTATGGAAAAGGAAATAACACTATAAATATTACCTCACAATGGTACCTACTTATACTGGGTAATGACTTTTAAGGGTCTAAGCATCAAGAATGGTTTAAAAAGACATTAATTTCCAAAAATGACCATAGTTAAAGCTTTATATATTCACTTTTTTTTTCCAAACAGCATAGGGAGTAATCACTGTGTTGTTGAATTATTTCATTCTTCTAAAACACATCTGGTTTTTCCAATAGAAATGCAAACATGCTTCATGAAAGCACTGTGACTTACTCAATTTCACAGTAATGAAAAATTTACTCCAAACCCATGTGAAAAATCATGTCTTATGCCTACAATTAGGTTCTACAGGAGATATTTTTCCATGTCTGAATACGCAAATATCAAATTATATCATAAGGCACTAATAGGCAAGCTAAATGTCCCAATATCAGAAACTTCTGCTTCACAGGAAAGGTCAGCAGAACCCTGGAGGACTTCCAGGATTATGCTATAGAACAATCTTATTTAATCCCTTGTATTAATTTTATTCCTCTTAATACTTTTTGTTGTCAGAAACTCACCCAGAAATGACTTTGAATAACAGAATCATGATTAACTAATACCTTTCCTAAACAAATGAATAAACTTCTCGTTCAGAGAACCATTCTGTTTTCTGCGTTTTTCAAATTGTTAGCTTAAAAATAAAGAAGGCCACAAGGAAGAGTTCTGCCTAACTGCCCACTGAGAAATTTGATCTCTGAACACAGAAACTTCTGTGAAAATGGGCCAAGAGCCACTTTCAAGCTAATTTAGCTTCTCTAGCATCAGCTGTCAGAGAGATCTGCATCTATGATTCAAGCAGGTTGCCTCCTGATGCCGACAGATGTGAAGAAAACACACATGATTGAGCAGAGGATGCACAGGGTAAAACCTAACCACAGTAAAATAAAGGACCTATTTGTAAGTGATGCAGAAAAAAGGCAGTGAAAAACGGGTAGGTGACGTTTCACACGGTTTCTCTGTGTTCCCACATCTGAAAATTCCACCTTCAGGATATATCCCAAATTTTAGTACCTGCCTCATTGAGATAAAGCATTGATCTAGCAAACCTTCAAAGCATGTCCAGGTCCCAGTGTTCAAGCTACTTAAGTAAGAACAGCTAGCTGAGATTCAACAGGAGCAAGAGAGTTTTACTATGACCAGAAAAAATTGCTAAGAAAGAAGCAAAAAAAACCCCAAAAACCAAATTCTGAAATACTATCTACTGCAGCATGTCCTCTGCAGTTTTTAAGGATGTTATTAGTCAGAATAATACAATTGATTGTGGTAAAAAAAAAAAAAATCCTTTTGCTTTTTTATATCACCGTCATTTTCTCACTGGTTAACAGCAATAAGACACTTCTCAGAATCTGTTACGTTTTGGGCAGCTGCAGTAGCACAACATATACTCAAGGTTTTGGTCTGTTATGAACTATTCACCCTGTCCTTTAATGTTTCTGCACCTCAGATGGGGGAACCCTGGATGTGTGTGTAGACTGGGGAAAGAGATGCTGGAGAACAGAGCTGCAGAAAGGGACCTGGGGGTCCTCGTCCATGGCAATTTGAACATGAACCAGCAGTGCCCTGGAACGGATGTGTGTGTAGACTGGGGAAAGAGATGCTGGAGAACAGAGCTGCAGAAAGGGACCTGGGGGTCCTGGTCCATGGCAATTTGAACGTGAACCAGCAGTGCCCTGGAACCCAGAAGGGCCAACCCTGTCCTGGGGTGCATCAGGCACAGCAGCACCAGCCAGGCAAGGGAGGGGATTGTCCTGCTCTGCTCTAGGCTGGAGTGGCCTCACCCGTGTGCAGTTTTGGATGCCACAATATGAGGAAGAATTTAAGCTATTAAAGAGCGTCCAAAGGAGGCCCACAAAGATGGTGAAAAGCTTTGAGAGGAAGCTGTATGAGGAACTGCTGAGGTCATTTGGTCTGTTCAGCCTGGTGAAGAGGAAACTGAGAGGAGACCTCACTGCAGTTACAACTTCCTCAGAGGAAGCTCAGGGACAGACACTGATCTCTTCACTCTCGTCACCAGTGACAGGACTCAAGAAAATGGCATTAAGCTTAGTCTGGGGAGGTTTAAGTTGGATATCAGGAAAGGACTTTTCACCCAGAGGGTGATTGGGCACTGGAACAGGCTGTGGAGGGAAGTGGTCAGAGCACCAAGCCTGACAGAGTTCAGGAAGTGTTTGGACAATGTTCTCAGGCACATGGTGTGATTCTTGGTGGCCTGTGCGAGGCCAGGATTTGGACTCAATGATCCTGATGGGTCCGTTCAACTCAGTATATTCAATGGTTCCAGTATTACATGTTACATTACATTGTAAAATCCCTTGTGAAATCCAGTGTCTCAGATACTCTTTGTTTTAATCCACAACACAACAGAAATCACAAAATACTCTGAGAAATTGATTTCAGCATTCCTAGAAACAGAAATGTTTCTAGAAATCACGAACTTTTTTGAAGTCTTTTCATTCAAGTGCTAAATGCAGGGTTTTTTGCCCTCACTTACATGAACATACAGAACATCTGACACAAAATAAACAAATAAACAGAAATACACACACTATCTACAGCACAAGATGAGAGCAGGAAGCCTGTGATACTGATATAAATAGAGCAGGTACAATAAGGCAGTGAGGACAGCTATACATCAGCCAAAATAAAAAATGTTTGAATCGAGTTTGACTCCAATTCTCTCAGCTAATTTTATAATTAAGTGAACTGTACTTTGTGTTTAAAAAAAATGTACTTACGCAGCAATAATAATGATCCTAAGATCATTGCAAGGATGGCCCAGAGACCAAGGGTAACATTTCCACCAGAAAGCTGACGAGTTCTGCCATCGCATTCAGTTGGAGTAACACAATCACAGAGATTAACTCTTACTGTGTTCTCTCCTATCTTTCCTCCATTGTCAATCACACTTACAGGAATGTCATAAATTCCATATGGAGTATCGCTCTTTGGTGAAAGATACCAAGAATTATCTGTAAAAAAAAAAAGAAAAAAACAGATCTAGGGTCAATGATGCTTGGAACTCAGTTGTCACAAATTTGACCATAATCACAATTTTCCCTGCTGCTACCAGTCACAGTAATTAGTTTCAAGTTAGATTAAATGTGTTGATACAAACTAGATCTTGAATTAATTTACTTTGTGTTTTAAAAAAATGTACTTACGCAGCAATAATAATGATCCTAAGATCATTGCAAGGATGGCCCAGAGACCAAGGGTAACATTTCCACCAGAAAGCTGACGAGTTCTGCCATCGCATTCAGTTGGAGTAACACAATCACAGAGATTAACTCTTACTGTGTTCTCTCCTATCTTTCCTCCATTGTCAATCACACTTACAGGAATGTCATAAATTCCATATGGAGTATCACTCTTTGGTGAAAGATACCAAGAATTATCTGTAAAAAAAAAGACAAAACCAGATTTAGGGTCAATGATGTTTGGAACTCAGTTGTCACAAATTCGACCATAATCACAATTTTCCCTTCTGCTACCAGAGTCACAGTAATTAGTTTCAAGTCAGATTAAATGTGTTGATACAAAGTAGATCTTGAATTAATTCATACTTTCAGCACCTTTTAAATGTTAGAACTGACAAAGCATACCTTATACAACCCTCTGAAAACATATGATTTGAAACTTTGAAATTGATTTAGTTCATTATAGGAAATTATACTACTTGGGCTTACTAGGAAAGATTATTAACTAAACTGACATTTATTAAAAAGGTTTTTGGTAGTGTGATTGGAATAATTAATTATAAACTTAATTTACTTAATTTATACCTCTTCTACTCTTTAGTTATATTGCTGTATTCATGGAGAATTATTATTTCCAGTGGGGGAAAAAATCCATTTAATCTGCTGCCGTGTTTAGAGGCAATGATTAATGACAATATTCTTTGAGGGCTAAAAGAAATAATTTGTAAAAATATATACAAGACTATCACTGATGTACATAATGGTTGTTTTATGATGAGCTATATGAAAAAACTTGCACCATCCAAAATGCAGCTTTCAATTTGCCTGATACAAAACTTGAAATTCTTAGATGTCTTTGCTTTCAGACTTTTCTGTCTTTTGCCTTTCTTAGTGAGTATTTGATGGAATGCTACAGAATCATATACTTTGCAACTAATTCATGTCACCATAGTAGCAAATGTATGTGCTGCTCTTGTTGCCATTATCTGGCAACCGCAAGGAAACTACCATCAGCTATAACTTTTTATATCAACAAATTTCAAGAAACAGTGATTCCTTTGCTAATAAATTGTTTATCTACTGCTATAAAAATTATAAAACTAAAAAAATATATTAAAGAAGATAGCCAGTAATCACAATTTTCCCTGCTGCTACCAGTCACAGTAATTAGTTTCAAGTTAGATTAAATGTGTTGATACAAACTAGATCTTGAATTAATTTATACTTTCAGCACCTTTTAAATGTTAGAACTGACAAAGCATACCTTATACAACCCTCTGAAAACATATGATTTGAAACTTTGAAATTGGTTTAGTTCATTATAGGAAATGATACTACTTGGGCTTACTAGGAAAGATTATCAACTAAACTGACATTTATTAAAAAGGTTTTTGGTAGTGTGATTGGAATAATTAATTATAAACTTAATTTACTTAATTTATACCTCTTCTACTCTTTAGTTATATTGCTGTATTCATGGAGAATTATTATTTCCAGTGGAGGAAAAAATCCATTTAATCTGCTGCCCTGTTTAGAGGCAATGATTAATGACCATATCCTTTGAGGGCTAAAAGAAATAATTTGTAAAAAATATACAAGACTATCACTGATGTACATAATGGTTGTTTTATGATGAGCTATATGAAAAAACTTGCACCATCCAAAATGCAGCTTTCAATTTGCCTGATACAAAACTTGAAATTCTTAGATGTCTTTGCTTTCAGATTTTTCTGTCTTTTGCCTTAGTGAGCATTTGATGGAATGCTACAGAATCATATACTTTGCAACTAATTCATGTCACCATAGTAGCAAATGTATGTGCTGCTCTTGTTGCCATTATCTGGCAACCGCAAGGAAACTACCATCAGCTATAACTTTTTATATCAACAAATTTCAAGAAACAGTGATTCCTTTGCTAATAAATTGTTTATCTACTGCTACAAAAATTATAAAACTAAAAAAAATATATTAAAGGAGATAGCCAGGCTTTCTTTCACCCATCTCAGCTTTACAAAAAGTGTGCTGGGTAACAGCAGGAGTAACATAAAAACTTCCAGACTTTTTTTTTTTCCTCAGCCTATAATCAATTTTAGGTAAAGTTTCAGTTTCCCAATCCTCCACCATAAAAACAGACTAAGAAAAGTTCTATTTCTCTTTGGAATACTAGCCATTTCATTCTTAAATTCCTTATGAATTATGAATCTATAGTTCGTTTTCCAGATATTGATGCAATGCATTACATCAGATTTTGTTCTTTCTCCTGATCTTCTTACGTCATAATTTCAGACAGCAGCTGATTTCTGACCAAAGGATGCTTGCGACAGATTCTTCTTTATGCTTTAAGAGACAGATCTTTGTCCTTGCCTTTGGGATGCCAACAGTGTCATATCTATGGGTCCCTTCCCACTGGAGGAGAACTAGAGACCATCAGTGAGCCCCACAGTATCTCCACTGACTACACCAATTCCAAACAGGGATTCCTCCAATCCATTCTTGCGGAACACCCAAATGAGACACAGCAAAGCCTCCTCTGGTAGCCTGCAGCTGAGTGAGGAGGAGGAAGTTTTAACATACCGTCGTGTGGAGTTAGCTTCCACATGGACGCCAGTCTGCGGTCGGTTATGCGATACTCAAAGGGTGCGCTGTAAGGAGCCTCATCGCCATCCTGTGCCGTGAGGCAAATCGGTTTTCTGTCTCTGCACATGATATAGTCTGTCTGAGTGATTCGGGGGAAATTCTTGTTGCCAGGCACGATGCAAACCTGAATTGTTCCAGTGCCTGTTTTACCATCTATGAGATAAAAATAACCAGGTTTAGCGCTTACTTCTAACATTGACGCATTAATTTCTGGTCCAACGTTTCACAATTAAATATCATCAACTGTAATATTTGTATTTAGAAGTAAGGTAGGAAGCAACTGCTGGCTTAGCCAGAGAGGGAAAGTTCTCACAGCTCTTTCTTGGCTGCTTCTCTTTGCTTGGCAGGTTGCAGATGCATCAGCAGCTCCCACATCTCCATATTCTGCATGTGCAGACTGTATTTTGCTGAGTGTGTGTGTCTGTGTGGGAACACATACTACTCTAACAGGTAGGAGAGGAAAGAGGAGGAAGAGCTTATAAACCAGGAGTAAAGGACACTGTGACAAGCAGAAAAAGCAGAAAGTGAAAACTTCCAGCCTTCTAACTTCTGGAAGGAGAAAATTAACTACACTTTCCCTACCTTCACCTCTCCTGGGAAGAAAAACACTAAGGGAAGAGGGCACTTCTTTCTGTCCTTTACCCTTTAGGTCACCATGCATTCATCAGTGGCATATACCATGTCACCAAAGTCAACATGCAAGAAATGAATGAACTCTTCCTTCCTATTACAGTTTTTCCAACACACAAACAGTCAATGCTTATCACATGCATTCCAGTGAAGTTACATCAAATCTAATTTTTAATCCTTTTTCTAGAAATAGCTGATTGCAGATGCCTATATCATTTTTACTGCATAGACATTAGAAGTTCTAAACAATTTAAATTTTTATTGACTTTAAAATGCAAACTTGGACAGAGTTAGAATTTTTTGCTGTAAGTTCAATGATTTCTTTTCAAAAAGTCCTCTCTAATTTCTCTGTTGTCTAGTTCACAATTTCCAGGAGCTATCACTTAAAAAAGAATAGTCAAGAAATAGAAGAAATATACTCCAGAGAAAAATATCTCAATTTAAAATTACTAAAGGATTTTAAATGGGGCAGATAACTTCTCAAAACATTGAGATCATGCCTGACTTGCAAAGGCTTTCCCTGCTAAATAATATTCCCTAAGCATTTGACAGAGCTATCGCAAAGACAAGACAGTGGACTAGGTAGGTCACTGGTCTGAACCACCACAGTTGTGCCCACACTACATTTGCACATAAATGTCTGTTACACACCACAGAGAACTCCAACAACATTTAGTACTCACTTCTGTCTATTGCAAGGACTGTGACATTGCATTGACCTCGTCTCATTTCTCCTAAGTCTCGGTCCAAGATCCTAACAGTTCTGACTTCACCTGATCTGTCATCTATGTTGATCCAATTACACTGGCCAGGTGGTATCCGGTATCTGTGAAGAATAATTTGCCTTGTTAAAGATCCCAAACATAGCATACATATATGTATACACACACATATTTAGATACATGTATTCATATACACTGACAGGTGTTCACGTGCACACATGTACCTACAGCCTCAACAACTATTTCCTTCTTCCTGTATCCCACCCCTGCTGTATTCAAAAAAACCCTAGTAAATAAAGTTGTTTCATACCTTATGCCCTCACTATTTCCAGTTTCTGGATCTTCTGCTACATATCTCCCAATAGCCGTCCCAATATCTTCACATTCTTTAACGTCTAAGCGCAGCAGACAGGGTTTAAACACCGGTCCCTCATCCACATCCAGGACATGCACTGTAACAGAGCTGGTGCTCTGGGAAAGTTGTTGGGAATGGGGAGCCAGCAGGTAGGGTGCCTCATTGTTGACTCCAATCACCAGGATCCTTTGCTTGGCAGTTTCATAGTCCAGTCCCTGTAACAAAGGTGAGATGGTGTTTTCTCCCTTCAAACTGATACAAAACCTAACATTCTTTTCACAGCGCAATTATTACAGCTGAATCTGTACCACATTTACTTACAAAAGAAGACAGCTGTCCTCAAATAAGCCATCAAGACAGAGTAAAAGGATGTGAAGGTTTATGTAAAGTTTTAAGTTAGTCAAAGAAAAGTACCCAAGCAAGCAGTACCACTGTATCCAAAATTTTGGATAAATATTCTGAAAATTAGTTACTAAAAGAACAGAAAGCAATTAAATGTAGTGGGGGATTTTCTTCTTCCGATTTAGTTAGCCATTATTTTAGCTTACATATATATCCTTTTCACAATGGCCAATCACACTTCTCTCAAGAAGCTACAAATTCACCTGAGAATTTATGGAGCTGACAGTAAGTAGCTGCCATTTATTCTTCATACACCACAGTCATTTTATGCCTTTAATAGAGCTAATATTATCCTAAAGTCATAATATTCTCTAGTCTACTACAGGATTACAATAAATGTAAGAAATTTCAACTATGTTCATATACCAGGGACAGAGCTTTAGAAAAAGTTGTAATCATTACTAGGAACAAAAAACCTATAATAAATAATATTAATTTTAAAAATGGCTAGCATCTCTACCTCTACAATGTTCAAGTTTAATACTAATCTTCTCTACTTCTTAGAAGTTACCTCTTATGGCAGTTATAAAAGATAATGAAAAAGAGCCAAAGGGATCTGCTGAAGGACAGATGCAATGGGCCTTTCACCTCACAACTTTTAAACACTTATAACAAATAAACTGACACAAATTCTTTTATGTTTATGGACTTCCTCACATGCCAGAAAGCAAACCTGAAGTCAGCATACTGCAAAATAAAACCTGGAGAGCTTTATGCTGAACTAGGAAATCTACTTAACTCCCAGAGAGAACAAGACTGTAGAAGGTGCTCAATCTGTCCCTGCTTTGCCACTGTCTCATTTCTCTTAAAAACCATGAAGCATTCCTGTTACATCCCTACATCTAAACAACTCCAACTGTAGAACCAGACGAAAGCACCAAGCCCTTCTGAAATGGAAAAAAACAAATTCTTTGGATTCTGAACATACAAAAATGAGGAACAGTCTGGAAGGTGAGCTTTGTTTGTTATGTTTTAAAACCAAAACTTGAAAATCCATACATTTTCCCCTAGTCCTTCAATTTTTACTTACCTTAACAACACACAGTATTCCTTCATTTGTGTTTTTGTCTGTTGTAATTTCAAAGGCCTGATCATCATTTCCTCTTATAATTTCATATACTGCTCTTGAGCCAGGTGAACCAGGTTCATCAAGATCAACAACAGAGACTCTCAGTATTTCTACATTCACTCTGTTTTCTTCCACTCGTGTTTCATACTTGGAGTATCAAAAAGAAAAATTAATTTAAATCAGAGAATACTGTTCCATAAGGCAGGACTGAAGAACATCATATTTAAGTAAGACTACTTCAACCTAAGGACTCAATTTACCAGGCTGATATAATTATTTATTTTGGTTTTATGCATTTGTGTGTTTTCCCCATTCTTCCCTTATACCCTGAGTCAAACAATAAACCTTTCCTGACCGCACAACTGAAGTCAGCTTCTTCATACACTCAAACTATCACTGACATAATCAATTCTGGAGTTCTCCTTCCAGGAAAGGTAAATTAGGACAATTTCCCTCAGTTACATCAGATATAGATAGCAATTTGCATTCAACATGATCCAGCTGAGAATTAGAAAAGGCATTGGGGTAAATTAAAAAAAAATATATATAAATAAATTAACAAGAACTTGCAAAAAATCCAAAAAGGATTAAATACATCTCTACTTTGATGGTAAAAGACAAGAATTTTTTTTGTATTTTTGTGTTATTCTGTACAAACTGAAGAAGAGCAGATAAGAGTGATTGTCAATTAATATTACTGATGATATTCTACAGTAATGAACAGAAAGGGTAAATTACAGGTATTCCTTATGAATAATGAATTATTTTTTCACATATTCCATATTACAAAAATCTCCTGTGGTATTTGAGATGCACACACAGTCGTTGAGACATACTCTTTGCCTTGAATCATACTCATGGCTGGAATAAGCAAAGGAATTTATGTTGGCATTAACTGTCTCACGGCATTAGACTTCGTATCTGAGGGACTGTCCATCAGGAAATTAGAAAGGGGATGAAAACATTTTTTTTAGTCTTTATACAGATATTTTACTTATGCAGACTTACTTGTAACTGTTTAAAGGATGGTGCATTGTCATTCGTATCCTCGATTTTGACGACAACTGTTCCTGTAGTGCACAAACCAAAAGGCTGACCTGCCATATCTCTCACTTCAACTAACAAAGTGTAACTGGGTACAAGCTAAAAAAGAAGAATAAAAGCATAAAAAAGTTTGTCATACTCACTTTTCTAACTGCATAGTTACACACAGGAGTAGAACTAAATATTTCATTCTTCCATAACTCTGCTCTAAATTCAGTGCTTTCCAACAAAATGAGACAATTGGCTTTGGGGCTTTTTGCCCTATAGCTCAAAAGGAAAAGGAGCAAAATAATTTTCAGTGGCCAGGCAGTAGTGAGTTCAGCCAGCATCTGTTAGTAACATGCATGCTATATCCTGTACCAAATAAAGCTTCTCACAATGTCAGCATTATTTTCCAGAACCTGAAGTTTTGGAAGATACAGATGACAGACTTCCATCTGCTATTTGTCTCCGCTTTGGAGCAACAGAGTATTCCCTCAGGTTGTCAACAGGTGAAGTGTTTTAATGCATGTCTCTTATTTCACTGAGGATGAAGAAAACTGTGCTGCAACCAGCCTCTGTCTGGGCAGTGCAGGTTAAGGCAATTTGAGAGGGTCTGGCACTGAAGGAGTCAGCATCCTGATCAGTTCCCCAATAGGAAACAGCGCACTTAAATCCCTAGCTTGAGCCAGAACAGCAGAAAGTTTTTTTTTTAATCTGAACAACCAAGGAAAGGAGGACCAGAGGAAAAAAAAAGTGAGGGCAGAGGGGAGAGGAGGGAACACATGACAGTACAGAGGGATTAGGCACAAAAAGAGAAAGTTCATATATCAAGACAATAACTAGTTCTGAATGCCTGTAAGTAGCACCGGCTTTCTCTAGTGCAGGAATGAAATTTCCTCTTCTACTTCATAAGTTTATCCTTAAAAGATAGGCAGTGGACTAGTTTTTCAATCCCTGCTTCCTTCAAGTAGTCACTGTGACAGCTTCCTTAGTAGTCACAGTGATCTGTAATCACAATCACTTCAAGTTTCTCCTGCTAAAAAAGCCAAGCACTGTAACTATAAGCACAAATTTGTGCAACATGTTTTATGTGGACTTTCAGCCATGAAACAACACAAGTATGCCATAATACAACTCCTTCTATCTTCAGAAAAATTGTGCCTGTTGCAATGTCTCCTAAAATGACTGTCCTATGCTAGAATTATTATTCTGAATTACATGCACATGTCATCTTCTTCCTATTGTAAACTATCTCACATGACATTCTATCAAAAAAAAAAGAAATCTTGTATCTTATTTGCTTGAAAGCTAGCTGATAAAAATAAATGGGTGGCACATTAATTTTAAGAAATGGTATATTACTGTTTAGGTTTCAGCTATTGGAAATATTTCTGGTTAATACAGGATGACTGCCTACTTCCAGAGAAACCGGTTCGTCTTCTCTATGAAGAAGCAAGAAGCACTGCAAATTGAGCTTAATTAGGAGGAAACAGTGGTTCATGGGACTCCTGAACACAGAAAGTGTTCAGTGTAAAAGTGAAAAATCCATAGGTTGAACAGCTGAGCAGCAGGAAGTTCTCTGCCAAGGTTAGCTAGAATATGGTAATCTTTGCGGAAACTCTCTGGACTAATTACATGTTTCTGAAAAGGTTCAGAAGAAGCCTTAGAGACATTAACAAAAATGAAAAAGAAGGTATGTCTGTTGATTCCCATGCCAGGATTCCATAGAATCACAGAAAGGTTTGAGTTGGCAGGGATTCTAAAGATCATCTAGTTCCAAAATGCTCATGCCATGGGATTTCACCCCCATGAGCCTCCAGCCCCTAAATCAGTTTGCTCAGGGCACTGTACAACCTGGCCCAGAACACTTCCAGGAATGGAGCATCCACAACCTCTCTGGGCAACCTGCTCCAGTGCCTCACTACCTCTGAGTAAAGAATTTCTTCCCAACATCTAACCTAAATATCTCCTCTTTTAGTTTAATACAACTTCCCGTTGTCCTATCACTATCTGCCTATTAAAAAAAAAAAAAAAAGTCACTCTCCTTTTTTATAAGCCTCCTTTAAGAACTAAAAGGCTGTAACGAGTCTTCTCTTCCCTAGGCTGAACAACTCCAACTCTCTCAGCCTGTCGTCATAGAAGAGGTGCTCCAACTTTTGGATTTGAACTTCTTCACATCCCTCCTCTGGACCTGCTCTAACAGGACCAAGTCCTTTCTGCACTGAGGAGCCCAGAGCTGGATGCAACCCTGCAGGTGGGGTCTCACAAGGGCAGAGCAGAGCAGTGTTAAGCTATCTGTGTGCACTAAATGACAGATGAGAATGCTTCAGGAAAGATCACCTCTCTATCCAGCTGTGGCAGTAATACAGAGATGACACCAGTGTCACCATGTAAAGAAAACGCTGGGGTAATCGGTGGGGTTTGTGACACAATGCGATATTTCAACGTGGTATGCAGAGTATAAGGCTCATCTCTGTCCTCTGCAATCACTTTCCCAACAACAACACCTGTGAACACAATAGAGCAATTTTTAGTTCCAGAAAAATATGCAAATAGTAAAAAAATTATTCAAAAAGGTACATCTGTTTTAAACATGTGAAAAGAGCTACTTGAACATATACTGCTGCTCTTTGCAAATTCAGTCTTTGCTGTAATATAATACTCCCCAGGAAATCCCACTGAAATGTCTTAAAAGGCAGGATCACACCTAGTCATACTGGTATGTAACAAAGCTAAGTAGTGGTGTGTTCAGTGATTTAAAACATTCCTTACCAGGTCTGGAATTTTCAGGGACACAAAATTCAAAAAGGTCTTGTGTAAAATACGGAGCATTATCATTGTCATCCTCTATCCTAATTGTATGCACAAGTGGTACTTCTGGTGAATAACCATCTGGAGTGGTTGCAAAGCAAATGATCTGTAAGAAAAATTCAGTGCTTAAGCAACATGCAGAACTTTTAGTTCACTGGAGGAGTCCATAAAACAAAATTAAATAGAGTGTGCAAAGCACATCCTTCTCAAGACCAGGCACTTCAGGCACATGTAAGGAGATGTTACTGCTACTATCTTAGAGTAAAAGCAGAACAAAACCTCTGAATGCTTTCCAATCTTTCCCCCTTCCATTCCTCACACACTCTAAGTACTTTAATAACTTTCTCCCTGACCCCTCCTCCAACTCTATCACTTTTTTTAAGTTTCCTGAACACTTATTTTTCAGATGTTCAAAAGGCACCTCAGCTACCAAAATGTAGATGTATACATTGTTATTTAGAACAAAACAAGAACGAGAGCAAAACTATTTGCCCCATTGTAACATAACCTAATAAAATGTAGCGATAGGTACTGAAAATTACGCTTTAGAAGCTATTTCTACTAATTGCCTTCTTACACTTCTCAGCCAGTAGAGAGAGCAGTGTACCTTGTTAACAGAACTGAACAGCTTCAGAGACTCAGAAAACCATAATCATATAAAGTCTACCATTATTTCTGTTTTCTGCAGATCTTTTTAACCGTCTCTAAAAAAATCTGCCTAGAAGTGATGCAAATCCAACAGCTCACTCTATTTACACTGCAATTAGAGATTAAGCAGTGAAAAGCAAAACTACTCTCAAGATCTAGATGGCCAGCTATTTATTTATTTGCTACTGATTTTATCTCTTCAACACCAAGGATATTACTCAGAATAGGCAGGTGATACCAGATCTTGTTTGCTACCATTTCCCCTGCAACCCAACTGTCAAATATATGCATGAGATTTAAAATAATATATATATATTTAACTATATTTACACAACATAGGCCTGTACCTGAAAACTTGGATACTGTTCACGGTCTACCGCACGAGTAGCAAAGATATTTCCAGTTTCTCTTTCTATGTAAAACAAACCCTTTGGATCTTGATCAATTCCTGGTCCACTTGCAGAATAATAAATTGTGTAGTTCTGAGCTGTGTCTGATTGGACCTATAAGAAGACATTTTTAAGCCCAAGGAAAAAAAGCAACAGCACTACAATACCTTTCCCCCTTTTCATGACCATATTAAGCACAAGCAAAAACTCCTGAAACAAAAAAAAACAAACTTGATTTACTCTTCACAGAACAGGAGAACAGCTTGACATATGACTGCCTTTCTTTATAATGTGTGTACATGAGAAGGGGAATTAACTCAAACTCATAAATATTTAGAATTATAGAATTAAAGAGATGATAGTATAAGGAAAAAAATTTTAAATCCAATCTTTCCAGAATACTTCACACACGAAGCATATTCAGATACAGATGGCTTATTTCTGAACCTGTTCAAGAGACTTTACTTTTAGTGCATTCACTGAAAATGTGGTTTGCACCTAAAGAAGAAAAAGTGAAGGAAGGGAAGAAGGAATAAAGACCACACAGAGTATAGTTCAGAGATATGCCAGTTCAGAGATATGTCAATTCAGACAGCATCTGCACCTCATTACGAGCACCAAGGAGGCAACATTAGACTTATCTATTTATAAACACTCTTCTTCCAAAATACTTTCCTTATTGCCAGAAGTTAGGAGGGTAAGATTAGTAGAAGAATGATTGCTCTGCACAGACTCTGTTATTACACTTGTCTCTACACATCTGCTACCAGCCACTCTGTAATCTATTGAAGGCTAGATGGATCTATGATAACTTTAGTTCTTGCATTTCTCTTTCACGCCTACTTGTTTTCTCCCACTAACTACTTTTCTGAATAACAGAGGCTATACTCAGTCTTCAAGGCTGAAGGTACACACCTCAAGCTCCAGAAAGGATGTAGACAAGCAGGCAAAATTTACCTGAGTCTGTGTTTACAAAATCCTTTTCTAAGCAATGTTTAGTGGAGGGTTGTTTGCAGTTGCTTTTCTTTTAATTACACACACTGATTTCCAGCCCAAAGAGCTCTCTTTGATAGTATGGCTCTTCTTTTTTTTTAATTTTTGCACAATTCCATTTCACTCCAACAACTAAGATCACAAGTTATTTCAGGTACAAGATAATGAGATATACAATGAACAGGACAGAACAAGATAGAGGAATAATAGCAGGAATGTCATTGGCAGAGAATACAAGACGGCTCATTTTCTTTATCATAAAAGTCACATAAAAAACTAGCATGGGTCATAAAATTAAGGTTTCTATAAAACGTACCTGCTGTATTTGCAGTGGGAAAGGTCCCAGTGAGTTCTCTATCATGACAGACGGAATAGGCCCCCACCTTCTTTTGGTTCTCTTGAGAACTGTATCCCTAGCATGCCTGGTATTCGGTGTCTGGGGTGAGAAGATAGAAAGACAGATGAGAATACATCCATATATTCTTAACTGCATATATTTTTGCTTAACTGCCATCCTGCATTTCCATCTTTTTCCCCCCATTCCAGTCTTCCTACTGACAATTTGTTTTTCCAAGGTCTTCATTTCTGATTATATCTGTGATAATATTCCAAGCTTTTTCATTTCTTGTAATACTTTGCATGAATAAGATCTGCTTTAATTCCTCAAACATGGCTTTTAAGATTCTTGACATTCAACATTCAAGTGATCATGCTACTTGCTAGCATCTCCCATTTGAGAAATCTGCTGACTCAAGCAACACAGCAATCAACAATTGCTAAATAAAAATACACACTACACCAGTATTTTGCCTGATTATTTGAATCCTAAAATTCAATTACAGATACTTAGTATAAAGCTGTACTCTGTGAAAAAGTATTTCAAATAAGTATGGTATCTTGAAATTAGAACCTAACCTTTTTTTCTTCTTCCACCAAGTCAACATGTATTTTCTTTTGAACTTGTTCTTGAATATCCTTAAGTAATATGGTAAAAGTCTTTTTCTCAGCAGACAAAGAAAGAGCAGATGTTGTATACACAGAACCATCCTCTAGAACCTTGAAATTCCCATCACTGGAACTGATAAACTCTGCAGACTGAAGGCATTCTTTCAAATCAACTGTAAAAAAATATTCAAACAATAACTCAAACAGCAAAAAACAATATCCCTCATAAAACAAAAAAACTCTAGCCCCCAGTAAAAATTGTATTTACTGACAGAGTCTTCAAAAGCTTGTCATTCAGTATTTAAGCAACACCAATGCTGATTTTAAAACTCACTTATGCACTCAGATTTGATGAAGTTTTCATTAATTTCCACTCTTGTGTTCATTAGTGCTTCCTAAACAACATGGGTGCTATATGGATATCGCTCAACAAAACACTATTACACTGGTAAAATTATTGAAGCATCACAGATGAAATTATGTACATTTAAATACAAAAAAACCATTGCAGACATGCCCATTATTGGAGCAGTAGCTATTACATTTACCTCGTGCTCCATGCCCCACAATATCGGTGAAGACGATTAATCAATGCAAATGCCCAATGGAGATGTTACATCTTGGAAGTTTTGCCCTCAGGAGGAAAGCACTGACTGGTACTATGTGATTTAATACTCTTGGGAGGACAAAGGCCTTTAAATTATGAGGCAGACAGATGGGAGAGATAAAGACTAACTCTAGAACAAACAATTAGCAATTTTTTAATATGCATGTGATAGAATCCCATGCAGGTAATTTCAGCATACTTCCCAGGTATTTTTGATTGTACTTGCTGTCACTTGTGGCTAAAATAGATTTTTTGCACTTCAATAAACTCGGATCACCAGCAAGTAGTTTACTATTACAGCTGGAAAAAACCAAATCAGCCCTAAGAAACAATGATTTGGCACCCTGAAAAGGATGAAAGTCAGAGACTCAAACTCCAAACAAATGATCATTGCAGAGCACAAGAGTTGTGTCATGGTCTCAAAACCAAAACTTTTCAATACTCTTTCAATGGTATCATGGTGGGTGGGCACTGTTGTATGAAAGCTGATTGCAAAATTCATGAAGATTGAGAATTTCATCCTGTACATGTAAATGACATTTTTAATAAACTAAATTTAATTCTGCTTTTAAAACTGCAAAAACAGATGGGAAGCATAATTTTAAATACTATGAGATTTCTTCTTCCTCTCAAGTCTGTCCTTTAAATGCAAAAATTAAGATTTCCTAGATTTATTATGGTACTGCAGCAGTGACTCCTATCCTTTTTCATCCATACAGTGTAAACAGAGTATTGAAAAGATTATCACTGCCTCACTTAAATGTGCCTTATACTGCTGCCTATTACAGCACTGCATTTCCAAAAATACCAGACTGGAGATATTTTTTCTGATGTTTATATGAGTCAACCCTATAGTTTTGTGGGGTTATAGTTTTAGTTTGTTATAGTTTTGTGGGTTTTTTTTCTTTAAAACCTCTGGTGTAAAGAAAAAAAAAATTCATAAAGAACCATTATGATAAGCAGGAAAATCCTGGCTAATTTCACTGTCAAGGTATGGTCCCTTTATCAATGCAAAATATTTCTCCATAAATGCTTAAGTAATGTCTTTCGAGCTATAATGGTTTTGTTAAAAGTTTTGGGGGAAAAAAAATTAGAGTTCTGTGTTATGCAAGTTCTTTCAAAGCACTGCAATAACATGAAGTTTTATTTTTATATAAATTAAATTTATTTACATAGAGAAACATTAAAGTCTATGAAAACTCAAACAGCTGTAGCAGCTTTCTTTGTTTTAAAATTTAAAAGTAAGATCAAGGAATTCTCACTATAAAGCTAGATTTTCTGAGTAATTGTGATGAACTAACAAATCACTTCATTTGTTCTTTCTACAGAAATATGAATTAGGACTGCAGACTTGGAGCACACTTCTCTGTTGTCACAGGACTCACAAAGGGCACCTCTGAATTCTCAAATTCAGTCTCAGGCAGCACAGAATCCTTCAGCACCTCCTATGCCACACCTTTCAAAGCTGCCTTTGAAAGACTGGTCTGAAAAAAAAATAGGAGTGGGATGTTTTCTAGTCTTCTCTATTCCTCCCAGTCACCTGCAAGCTGCCCTGAACTGAGGCAGACTGTCCAGTCAGACAGGAGCACTCTCCCAAGAGAATGTGCATGCAAGACACCTCTGCAACACGTCCCCTCGTGTGCTCTGAATGCCCCAGCACTGCTGAGCAGCCTCTTGGTGCCTGGTTAAGCAGGTTTTGTCTTCTTTTTTATCATTTCCTTTGTCCAAATGACTTATTTCTCTTCTTCATATGACCATGGGTTATGGGTGCAGTTTGGAATATCAAGCATTTATTTAGATAGTAAGCCTTCGACTCTAAATTTTGGAAATATTAAATTCTGCCATTTCAGTTTTAAATTAAACTCTGTAACCTGACAATAGCTCTTATGCAAAAGTCGAAGGGATGTATGGAGCTGGTGTTCAAATCCGTAACAAACACAGGGCGTATCCTTCATAAAAAGCTGATCCAGCTGTTCAGCTGGCTCTCCAGTCATCCATTCATTCCATTAAAAATAAAGTCTCCTCCACTGTTAACAGCATCTCCAGCAAAGGTGCAATGCTGTGTTGTTAAGCCGGGCATTTCATAGTTTCTCTCACCTCTGCCAACTAACGTGTCAGCCTCTAGTTCAGAAGGAACATGAAAAATTACTTTCTTGCAAGCTTCACAGCACAAACTCAGCACCTAGAAAACAAATTAAGAAATCAGGAAAAAAACCCACATAATTACATGGTATTTTGAACTAGACACTGATGCTGACTTTGGTTGGTTTGTTTGTTTGTTATGACAAACAAGTGAAACAGCACTGAAAGAACTCCTCCCTGAAAATTCAGGTAGTGTGCAGCACAGTACAGAAAGTTTCAAACTGGAAACAAGATCTGACTACTGCTCCTGTATTTGTCCATGGGTCGTGTTTGGCTTTTTTTAATAAAATCACTGCATCACTGGCATTAACAGCAAGGGTTCTCTTTGTCTAGGGGGTTTTGCCTACACTCCTACTTCAGCAGAGATACGATAAAACACATTTTCGCTGTGCGCTCCCTCTAACAGCATTCCTGGCCAGTTTAGATCCCAGGTCTCTAAGTATTAAAGTTCAATGCATCAACACTCAGTTTGGTAGAATTGTGGTGATGCTGAAAATTAAAGGGACAAGTGCCTCATTAAAACCACATGACGACACTTGCACTTATACATCACTTTGCATCTTAAAAGTGCATTCTCAACAAACTAATTAAACGTAGCTTCACCAATTAGAAATGACATAAATAAAATGTCATGTATCACAGCAGTCCACTCCCATATAACCAGTTACAAAATAGGGTCCTCCTAAAAATTCAAATGAGTAGTAGATAACTAGACCTTTTTCAAAAAAGAATCACATAGAGTCATAAAGATTTTCCTCAGCACACGGAGCAAGTGAATCCTCATCTCAGATTATATGTGTGTGTTTTTGCCTAGTTTCTATCTCTATGTTTAAAATTGTAATCGAAAAATCACACAGACAATTAAACAAAGACATAGAAAAATGTAAACAAATCTATCCACCCTTTTATGTGCATTTACTCTTTCAGGATGAAAGTCTAGCAAAAAAGGAAAAGCATTTTTATTTTGTACATACCTTTAGGATTAAAGGTATAAAGAAGTAAATAGCTAATGGAAATCCTGAAAATTACTTATGATGCTTATGAAGAAAATATTTAAATAAAAATACTTTAAACTCTGAAAGACATTAGGACCCTTTAGAAAATAAAATACTGTGTCTGCACCATAAAAGCTCTTCATATAGTTCCTTATATATACGCAGATAGAAAAATTGCATATATACAAATAATTTAAACATCCCTGCTTATGTATTAGTAGGCTTTCCTTATTAACACACTTAATAAAACACTCTCTCCTGAAAGATATTGCATGAATTTTTAAGCTACTGGAATCACAACATCTTTTTACATCGTTCTGAAATATTTTAAGAGTCAATGTGACATCTAATTTTTAAATAGTAATGCCAAGCCCAGTCTGATGTCAGCACAAAAAACTATTGAGGAGTTAAACAAAAGTAAGTGGTAGTTATTCATGGACATTAAGACATAAGGAAACATCAGGTAAAAAAAAAAGAAGTTGTGATGTCCTTTCACTTTACACAAAGAAGACACCTCAGGATTTTTTTCCTTTGGGTGTTGTTTGGTTTTTTTCTGCTTGACAGAAGAATTTTTTCCTTTTTTAAAATTAGATATATGAATAAAAGTGCTTGCATTTCTTTCACTTTAATATCCTGGCAAAGGCAGGCACACAGTGTCTGAAATAGTAACATTATCATTAAAATGTGCATATATAATTAATATTAAAATAATAAATTCAGTGCTTCAACACTACCAAGTATTTTTCTTTCACAGGCTCAACCAACCATCTGCCCTCTTTTTGTGAATGCAATGTTAAAAGGGAAGAAAGGGGCTAGGAAACAAAGGAAAAATCACTTTTACTCATCTACTATAAATTTTAAAAAATAAAAACGTCAGAGAGAACTACCCTGCTCTGCCCGCCAAAGGCCTTTCTGGAGCCGATAATTAAGTACAAACACAATTAACTGAATGTAAAGGAAATCGCTGAAAAATTTTTCATGCACAACTAACTTTCAGAGGAGCTCAACACGCTCCACACTGTGGCACAATCCTTCCCACGGAAAAAAAAGGAGAACCAGGTGGGGAGAGGCAGAGTGGGAGATTTAAATAAAATGAACTGCGGTATTTTTTTTTTCCTATGAATATCCAGCAGCAGCATCAGCGACCCGAGCGTGCGCCCGTCGCGTAACCCCGCGGGAGGTTCCAAAAGCCACCCGACCACCTGTCCCAACGCGAGATGCGCATCCCGCTGGATTCCTGCCCGCGCCGAAGTCCCCCGAGGTGCGCCCCGCGGCCGCGCAGCCTCCGCGCTGCTCTGCGCCCCTCGCAAGGGCCCCGCCGAGGAGAAACCCGACTTGGAGTCAAGAGCCAGGCAGAGATCACCCGCTCGGATGTCTCCCCAGTGCGCTGCGCACCCGCGGTGCAGCATGAACAGCGCGGGGGACAGGCGCGGCCAGGTGCGTGAGCGGCCGGCGCGCTCCCCCCGGCGCCCACCCACTCATCCCGGTGATCCCGCTCGCTCCCTCCCTCACTCACCAGGAGGCCGAGGACCAGGCGGGGGGCTGCGGGGGCCATGGTGCGCGGGGCTGGGCGGGAAGGGGGGAGCCGCCGCCGTCGGTGCTGCCACGGCGGGCGAGGGAGCGAGCAAGAAGTGGCGGCGGAGGTGGCGGCGCGACTCGGCGGGAGCCCGGCTCTGCTGTCCCCTCCCGTCTGCCACGGGAGCCGGCCGGTGGGGAGGGTGGGACCGCGCGCGGCAGCGGCGACTTTAATTACTGCCCTTTTTTTTTTTTCCGCCTTTTGGGTAATGCCCGTCCCGGGCACGGCGCTGGAACACCCCGCCCGCTCGCCGCCCACCTCCGCGGCGAGGCGCTGCCCGTCCCCTCCCCTCGTACCCCGCCCCGCCGCGGCGCCGGCTGCGCGCAGAGCCCTGCGGAGCCGCGCCCGGGAGCGGCACGCCGGGGCGGGGGCAGAGCTGTCCCGGGCGCGGCACCTTCGCCTCCCCTCCCTTCTCCCTACCCTTCCTTGCCTTCCCTTTCCCTGCGGGCCGCGCTCCGCAGGGCGCAGGTTCCGCACGGGCGGGTCCCGTCCCGTCCCGTCCCGTCCCGTCCCTTTGAGGCGGTGCCGGCCGGCGGCCGCCATGGCCGGCCAAAGTGCCCTGCCCTCAGAGCCAAAGTTCAGGATTTTCGGCCGGGTTTCTTCTTTTCGGGACGATTGTGCTGATCTGTGTGTGGCCGCGCGTGCTCGCCTGTGGCTTCTGGGTTTCGAAGTGGCTTCAGGTGAATAAAAGCCGAAGTAACAGTACCAAACCCGGAGGCGCGGGTTGCACACGCAGGAGGTGGGCTTCCCATGGGAACAGCCTGCGCTAAAAACATCTTTCAGCCTGAAGCAAGGAATGGTGTTTCTGTTGCCGGCTACATTTTATTCCACGTTTTGCTTCAGAAACAATTATTACTGAGTTGTAGCCAGTCCCAAAGCACGCCACAAAGGAGACCAAGTAGATTGCACTATTTGTTTACATTCGTGTACGTTGAAATTCACAGTTCAGGAGCAAAAATTTTGAAAAATATACCACCTTCTTACAATTTTAAGCTAATAAGCAGGGATCAGTTGCATCTGACAGCATAAGATGTTCACTGCTGGAGGTCACCAGTAGTGACTGTAGGTGGTAAGAAGGTAGGAGGGGTAAAACCATCGGGCAGTGGTAGTGGGATGTGCACGTTTGTATGGGCATGAGAATGCTGGGATGCCTAAAAGCATGGCCATGTCCCCCTTCTAGTCACATGGGCATCCACAGAGGTGTGTGGACAACTGGTTACATACCAGTGCACTGTGGGCATGGGGCACTCTGTAGGGTAACCTGTGATAACCTATGATAATTCACAATTATGTGCTGCAGTACTGCATGGCATGTTGGTGTTGTAGGATGGCTCTGCTGATGGTTGCACCCTAAACATAACAACATTGCACCAAATTCCATCATACAGACTCAGTGGGAGCAGACAAAAAAGGCTGTAACACTTCTTTTTTTGTTTTGTTCTTGGGGTTTTTTTTGGTTTTGTTTTTTTTTTTTGAACTGGTAAAGCATGATTTGTCTTAAGAAGCAACCTCACAGTGGCTGTTCCACTTCAAGAGTTCAGATAAACACAAACTAAGCGCCTGCAGCCCCCTAAAGCTTCACCAGATCCTCCACTTTACTTTAGTGAGTTTTCCAGCCTGGTGGGAAGCACAGCACCCAATTTCTAACTATTTGAATTCATTATGCTCCATTCAAGCACTTGTGGACATAGAAAGGGAATGAATTGTCTAGACCTGCAATAATTTCCATCCAAACCTAATAACTAAGAATATTTACCCTGTGGTCAAAACTTCATTTTTGAGCTTTTGAATTCTTTGCTTAGTGTCAGTGTGGAGCAAACCCACATCTGTCAGAATAGGTGCCTAGATTGGGTTGACCCAGACTGTCTATTCCAAAGCCCTAATTAACAATCTTAAAATTCTGGCCTGGCTTCGTACCACTCATGTTTTCCTCCTCCTACATGCTGTTCAGTATTTGCAGTAACACACTGGACCACTACACTGAACGTGATGCTGCTGCTGTGGTTGAGAAAGCAGGAGTTCAGGGAAGACAGGGCAAATGCTGGAAGGAGAGATATAGACAGGAGCAGTAATGAGATGGGATTGTGGTACTCTCAGCCCAAGGCTGCCTTGTTCTTACTTTTTCTGGCTTACAGCCACAGCTGCAGAAAGCACACTGGGCTAGAGAAGCCATTGACTTTGACACAACTTGGATGATCTCTCATGTGCTCCTGTGCTACCATGAGTTCCTCCCAGAAAATCTTGGGTCTTCCTTAAAGTCAGTTGCATCAAAGTCCCTCAGTTGTTCAAAAATCCAGTTGGAAATTCCATCTGAGTAAATGCCTTTTAGTCACAGCACTTTTTAGAGTCATTCACGCCTTCCTCATCACCAGGAAGCATTTGTACAGCAGAGAGGTATTTGACAATGGGCTGTCCTGCCCATCGGAAGAGTTGTATTGTGTAACTGGAGTAAATCCCTGCCCCATGAGCTGTGTGTCCTTGAGCTTATACACCAATTTCAAGGCTTTGGTTTGATCACGAGCAATTTCTCATAGCTGGAGCTCTGAATTAATCTTCTTGCCACACTATGCTTTTGACCATAGGTGTACATGGATATGTTTCTATTTTAAGTTGCTGTGAGTGCATTCTTAGGTCCAGAGTCAAGCAGTAAGAGTGTGAGGGGGGAAAGCATCCCTTTGTTTCATGCTATTTTGGGCACAGAGACCCTACCCATTTGCACAACAGAATCACATAACTGGAGAATGAATCCTCCAACAGTTTTACTTAAAACTTTGACAGCACTGGTACGCATGATGGTCTTGGCGGGGAAATCTTTAATAAAAAAACTTACTTGTAATTTGATTGTCTTGGAGAACAGTTAGTATAAGGGATTATTAAAGGGTGGGCTTGGTAAGCATGTGAAGACATATGAAATATTGGAGGAGAGTTGTCTTGACTGTCATAGAGGACCATTTCATCTCAAAAATCAACCAGAGTGTAAGACTGGACTCAATACATAAATTGTTAAGTTTCACCTGTTCAGTGCAGGGGTTTCATCCAAGAGCTTGATAAAGCCTATCACCAAAAAATATCCTAAATTAAAATTACAATAGGAGTAGAGGTTTTTCTGTGATCATAAGTGGTTTTAAATGGGGAAAAGAAGAATTACATAAGTTGTGTTGTATGGGATGTTGGCAGCTGGACCTGACCATCGTTTCATAAAGGATGTGTGAGAGGAGATTAGTATGAACACAGTAACAATGGAGAATTTGTCATATTCATGACAGCCATATTTGAGGCTGGCTGCCCAAAGTAAAACAAAAATGTTACCATGTTCCACTCAAAGGTGAGTGAAAAGATGCTAAATTGATAACTGAAATTTTAAATTAATTTATTAATAGAATTAATGTGATGTGAATAGAATGGCAGGCCCTAGAATTGCTGCTACTTTGCTGAAAACAGATTTTATACAGTTCTTTGGAAATATCTGAGCTCAGTGACTAATGTCAATCAAAGGGAAATAAACCAGTGTTTGTTTTTTTCTTTTGAAAGAAACAACATAAACCTCTTAATGTTTAATGTTATATTCTCTGTAGTCACAGGTACCTCCATATATTAAAACGGTTATATTTGCAATTCTGTTAAACTATTTCAAAAAAGGAGCAGTAGAAGCAAAAACAGTACCAAGAAAAGCAACAAGAAAAGACTGTAGCTGAAGACAAAGTGGACAAGATTCTTGAGCTTGGAAAAAAGGAGGAGTATGTTAGAGGTATACACAATTGGTAACAATACAGAGAGGATGAGCTGGGAAAGACTTCATACTTTCTCATAATCTAAATATCAGAATAATTAGATCTTGGATATTAAAAGCAGTTTCACCTTTCATTCAGAAATGCTAATGGTTGGAAGCTAGAAGAGATTATATATATTTTTATAGGTAGGAGGGATAATTCAATGATTTATGATTTCTACTCTTTTTCTGTAAAAATCAGCTAGGTTCTACTGCTGAGATAGCAAGCTATTGAGATAGAATGGCAAACCAATCCTTACTGCTTCCTTTGGTAGTTCAGAGTACTTTTCTGTCTGACTGTGCTCAGTTCCTCACTACACATGGAGCAACATAGCACCAATAAAGGGTTTGGAAAACATGGAAGCCACTTTTCCCTGAGCAGCAGGATGGCGCAACCTTTGTTGGTCGTGTAACCAAGAACCTGTAGCCAGATGTTTATGTTGGAAGCATCCTTGGATGTGAAATTTGCTTCCTTGGTAGGCCACCTAAGAAGAGAGAGGCACAGCATATATTTTGGTCAGGGGTTTCTGTTTCTGTGCATTAATAAAATGTGCAAAATGTGCCTAATTTAGGTCAGGCATACTAATTTCCTTAAGAGTACCTGAACAATAAACAACAATGACCCTTACTGAGAAACTAATTAGCTTTGAAAATTTGGCTTTCTTAATCATCAAAGAAGATGGGTTAGAGCTCATCTCTAATTTAGAGAATAATTATTATCAGTGGTCTGAAGCTTTCCACATTACTCATTCCCACATGAGGGTTGGATTGAATAAGACACTGGAGCCTACAGCCTCGTACTTTTGCACTTTTGTTTTTCTCATATTAAAATGCAAGCATATTCTGAAATTTAAGATTAAATCTCCAATTTTGAAACTGTTTTCATTTAAACGTTTATCCAAATATTTACTTTTACAAATATCAGTTTTACATCACAGAATAATAAAATTCACCCTCTGTACTTAAGCTAGTTTTCTTGTTTGCATTTATTAATTCTAATTATTTTTCTTGTACAAAAACCACTATTTGCCTAGCAAAAGGTGTACTTTTCATGATCTGAGTATACTGTTGTCACAGCAGTCTTTTGATTTTCATGTGTTTTTTTCAAAGGGGAAATAATCAGGTATTTCATTGAGCAATTTCATACAAATGGTAGGTAATTTCCTTCTTTGCCATTTATGTATATATACATAGAGAAAAAACTGTTACGAATTTAAACATTTTATTAAATAGTTCTTGTTTTAATAAAATAATTTTAAATACAGATAATGAATCTTTAAATTAAATTGAAATTGTTTATTTAAAACTGCATGGGCATTTTTCAACATTTGATTGAAAAACTGTCTCT